TCCTTGAAATAAAGCATTTTCCAATTCTGCACTTCTTGCTTTGGTCATTTCTGTGCTTCATGGCAAAGAAAGTGAGGGGATCATGTGCTTCCATCACTTCCTGGGGGAGTTCCAATGACTATCATTTATTTTTATTTTTTAAATTAGCATACAATTCATGTACCATAAAATTTACCAGGTTACAAAATTCAGTGATTTTTAGCATGTTTACAGGGTGCAACCTGTAATCACTACTGTCTAATTCCAGAACATTTCATCACCCCCAAAAAAGAATCCTGGTACTCATTAGCAGTCATTCCCCTTTCTCCCTTCTTCCCAGCCCCTGCCAACCACTGATCTGCTTTTTATCTGTATGGACTTGCCTCTTCTGGACATTTCATATAAATGGAATCATATATTATGTAGACTTTTGTTTCTGGCTTCTTATAATTTAAATCTCAAGGAGCAGTGGAGCTTCTATATTAGTCAGGACTTTTTTGGTCACAGGTGGCAGAAAACACAACTCAAACTACCTTAGGCAGAATGGACGAATGAGGAATGGAATGTATTGGTTCTTGTAATTAAGAATAACACAGGTAACTGGTCACAGCTACAGCTGTATCCAGGGCTCCAGGTGTCCACAGGACTTCATCTTGCTCTCTCCATCCCTTGACTCTGTTTTCTTCAATGTTGGGTCCTTTGCTAAGTAGGTTTTCCTCTGGCTGTCCTCTTTAGCAACCCTAGCAGAAATGGAGATTACCCCAGAACTGAGACTCATGGGACATTGTAGATCATGTGCCCATTTTTGTGCCTAACATTAGAGCTAACTTAGATGGAATACTCTGGCCCAGGCCAGTGCCATGTGCCTATCCCTGAAGAAACATCATCCAGGGGAATCTGATGCCCCTATTATCCAGGCCTGGGTCACATGACCCCCTGGAAGTCAAGAGTAGAATTAGCCCACCTGACCACATGACTTGACAGAAGTGAGAGGGTCTTAGCAAAAAAAAAAAAAAAGAGAGAGAGAGAGAGAGAAATGGGTATTGGATGTCCACTAAAGTATCAGGGTTGAGAGGGTCAGTAGGAATTATCTAGTCCAACCTCCTCAACTTACAGATGGGGAAACTGAGGTGTATTTTCCCTAGCTCCCCTGAATCACAAGCAGAGTTGTGTGGCCCTTGTCCTGCCAAAGACCCCATCCAAATCCACCCCCACTCCTAGGCTGGTTATCAGATAAGTCAGAAGCCAAAAAAATCATTTTCTACTGCTTTGTTTTCCTACCCAAACTCCTCCTAACAGGTCCTTTCCATGTTCTATGTGACTTAGCCCCAAGTTTATCATGTTTACCAGGCTGTGTGATGAGGCCTTTGGACTGGAATAAAATATTCATATGATCAGAGACGCCTGAGTGGCTCAGTGGTTGAGCATCTGCCTTTGGCTCAGGGCGTGACCCTGGGGTCTGGGGATCGAGTCCCACATCAGATTCTCTGCGAGGAGCCTGCTCTTCCCTCTGCCTATGTCTCTCCCTCTCTCTCTCTCTCTCTATCTCTCTCTGTGTGTGTGTGTCTCATGAATAGATAAAAAATATATATATTCATATGACCTGCTTCTGCACATGGCAAATGACTGTGAAGTCTTTCTGGGGAACTCAATGGTCACAACCCTAAGGGATGGGTAGAGAAGGGTATGTGATAATGGAATCATTAAAAGTACCTTGATTACAGTAATTTCTCTGACATTGGCCATAGCAACTTCTTTCTAGATACATCTCCTGAGGCAAGAGAAACAAAAGCAAGAATAAACTATTGAGACTACACAAAAATAAAAGCTTCTACACATCAAAGGAAACAACCAACAAAACTAAAAGAACTAAATCTCTCTGCCCCCAACACAATATAATAAAAAATGTCTCCTGACATTGCCAGATGTTCCCAGGGCAAAATTATCCCAGTTAAGGACTACTGACTTGGAAGAAGATGGGTTTACTTCTAAGCATATTGAGTTTGAGGTACCTGTGAGACATTCGAGGGGAGATGTCAGATAAGCACTCAGGCTTATGGATTTGAAGCCCAAAACAATGGTCTGAGTTGATGACTCAGATTTAGGAATTGCAAGCATACAACTGAACTGTGTAACAGGATGGCCTGAGATATAAGCACAATATGCATTTGCACACCCTAACTTCTCAAACTCCTTCAGTGAAATGTTCTTTCTTTTCTTTCTCATTGACTTTCATGTTAGACTACAGAGAGAGGGAGAGAGGAGGGAAAGAGAGTGAGAGAGAAATGTAAGGGGGATGGTGAGTTTGACAGCACTGGACTGAGCTATTCTAAGCATCTAGTTTAAGGGATGGAGGTCTGAGTTCAGTGAATATTTAACCTCATCCTGGCTCATAGTCCTCTAATCTGTCTCTAGACAAGGTATTTATATTGCTCTAGCTTCTCTTAGGTCTCTTTTGTTTCATTTAGTTTGAAATGTCTAGAATTTTTAAAACATTAGTAACCTTTTATAATATAGTATAAGTCTTTTTTTTTTAGTATAAGTCTTCTTTATAGCAATGCTGCATAATGGTGAGGCTATATCCTTGATGATGATAAGTTGGGAGAACCCTCACTTACTGATTCTTATGATTTAAATAAATCATAAGAGGCCAAGAGCCTACAAAAAAAAGTATAAATGTGCCTGGCAAGACCTCCAATGGCAAATGTCTCCCCAAAAGAGGTGGGAGTTTCATGTTTAGACTTATTTCTCCAACTTGGCCAATGACTGACTCCAACTATATTACAGTTGAGGCAGAAAATGGATTGAGAGTGTTTTGTGCAATGGGGCGAAGGTTTTACTTTTCCAAGTTACTCCTTTTTGATGTTACATAAACTACCCTTACCCTCCGATATCATGTGAAAAACTACAGTCAGTGAAACTCCCAGGAATCAAAAGACCAACATAATTGCATCTCGCCTCCAGTCTACTCATTACATCAGTTATGCAATAATATTTATTGACCACCTTCTGTATGACAGACCAGCACTTGGGACAAGGACTATATCAGTGAATATAGGACAGAAAATCTCCATGTCCTCAAGGGGCTTATGTTGTATTAAGGCAGAATTTGGCTTCTCTGATAGGGAGGTGGGCATAAGAGAGTTCTCAGTAGGGGGAACTTTTTAATTCACCTTCTTTGCTCCCTGGTATATAGGACCCTTGGTAATTCTATTTCATTCATATATTTTGAGCCAACTTTTGTGACAATTGCAGATATGGATATAAAGATACCCTTTAGAATATGAATAATAGTGAAAGGGAATAGAAGGGAAGGGAGAGGAAATGTGTGGGAAATATCAGAAAGGGAGACAGAACATAAAGACTTCTAACTCTGGGAAATGAACTAGGGGTGGTGGAGGGGGAGGAGGGCGGGGGGTGGGGGTGAATGGGTGACGGGCACTGAGGGGGACACTGGTCGGGATGAGCACTGGGTGTTATTCTGTATGTTGGTAAATTGAACACCAATAAAAATTAATTTAAAAAAAGATACCCTTTAAATGGGGCAACAGAGATGTTCAGGAATGGTAGATGAGCCAATGGAATATACAAGCTGGGTTACCTTAATAAAAATAAAATTCAGCTGTTGAAAAAAAAATAAGTCTCACAACCCATTCTGGCCTCCAGACGTTTATGATTATTCGTTGTGATACCATAAAGGGATAATGTTTGGTCCCTTCTTTTTAACCCAGCAATTCTTGATGGAATTTTTATGTGATGTTTTATAATCCACATGTCCTTCAAATTCATATCCTTTCTCTCATCACAAAATTGACATGAAGGCTGAAGGGATAGTCATGGCAAGAACTTCCAGTTCTACTGAACAAACAAATGTTCCCCTTCCTGTATTTTCTGAGCCAAGTGCTGCCCCTCCAGTAGGACAGCACGGAAGATTCCAACTAGAAATGAGGAATGCCCAGAAAATGCTTAAAGCTAAATTCTTTAAGGCTGAATTCCAGTAACATTTCCACTGGCCTGCCTTTTCTTATTCTCCCAGAGAGTTATCCTTTTATTTCCATAACATGATATTCTATCCTCCACGTAGCAATGTTGGTTTCCAGCTCAAAATTCTTTGTACCACCTCATGCTGCCTCTCATTTGCTAGAATACTTCACCAGGCTTTCTATAGTACTTTTATCTCTGAAAATAATGTAGAAAGCACCACTAGAAAGCATCCTTTTTGTTAGCAGTAGCACTACCCTGGTGGCTTCTGCTTCTCCTATATCCTAGGAACCAGTGTCTCACCAGGCAGATTCTGGGAAACATGTGGAGAGAGGCATCTAAAATAATGAAATATGATACAGAGGCATCTAAAATAATGAAATATGATACAAACTCAAGTCTCTACCTAGAAAGTCAAACACAACCAACTTTTCTGAGTGTCTTCTGTGTGCCAACTGCTTTTGTGCATTTTTTAAAAGCAAGCACAACCTCCATTTACTCTAGACCAACAAAATGCAGTATTTGTAAACATAATCATCCCCTAGTGCAACATATTTATTCCATGGCTGGCAATCTTTCTGAATCAATCCATTGAGGAAGAATGAGCTGATTGTTCATCAGATGTAAACATCTATATCTTCCTTAAGTGTATCCTCTCCATGGTGCCTCTTGAAGTAACCCAAACAGATGTGCACTAGGAACCATGCTGAAGATAAACAGCTGTTTCTATATTATACACACAAGCAATGGTAAATTCACTTGATGTAAGTCCTGGCTATAAAAATCCAATGAAGCTTAGTTATTCAGTAGGGCTTCAATTTGAATTTGAGATTGCCATTCAAAAATGTCAGCAGCAATGCTGCCAATTTATATTGTAGAACTTACATGTATTCAGACATGTGGTGATGGTGACAGACAACAGTAAATAAAAGATATGTACATAACAAATGTGAAAATGTAGAATTTCCTTTTGCCATCAGCTTTCTCCTACAAATGACCTAGATTTTTCCTCCTCTTTTGAAATTTCAGAAGGCACTTACCTTTAGAAAAATCATCAAATAGGCCAGACTTTTTTCAGTTTCCTTCTTTTCTCTCCACTCCTATCCTCTTGCTTAAACACTGGACTTGGACTGCTAAGACTGCCATAACAAAGTACCATAGACTGGGTGGCTTAAACAACAGAAATTTATTTTCTTACAGCTCTGAAGACCAGAAGTGCAAGTTCGAGGTGTTGGAAGGTTTGGTTTCTCCTCTCTCTTTGGCTTGAAGGTGGCTGCCTTCTTGTTGTGTCTTCACATGATCTTTTCTCTGTGTGTGTGCGCAAACCCGGTAACTCTTCCTCTTACAAGGACACCATCTGTGTGTGTCCCTTGTAACCCTGATGACATCATTTAATCTTAATCACCTCTTTAAAGATCCTACCTCCAAATATAGCTGTGTTGGAGCTTAAGGCTTCAGCATATGAATTTTGGGGAGATACAATTCATATTACATAAAAGGTATATTCCATATTCTATTTCTTTCTTCACTCTCCCTGTCTGCCACTCTGTCTCTGTCACCAGGCAGGAGTATTATAGACCCATGTCTCTTACTTCTAAACATGTAAACATCTGTTGAGGGTTTAGACACATTTAAGTTGGCCGTGAAGCCTCAGGTCAATGAAGAAACTCAAGTTTCTACCTACAAAGTCACAGAGCTAAGGAGATGACTGGAGTTGGGAGTCCCCCAGACTATGAAGCTCAGAAAGTAAGCAGCACACTTGTGTGACAAGAGATTATAGTTCAGAGTTGGAAAAGTAAAGTTTCCCCTTCTCTGTCATCCATTTTATGCTTTCTATAGCCAAGAATATCAAAAGGATAATTGAAGAGAAACACCATTTTCTTATTCCTGATTCTCCTTGAGTTGCTCACTCATGGTTTAGAGTATTTCTGAGTACATTTGGGCCTCTTTGCTAGGAGGGTATTTCTGAAACCCTAGAAACCATTCTCAGCAGTCTGGCATTGGGCAGAGGGGCTGTTGCCTGAGTGTTTCCAGTGAGCCACAGCATCACCGCATTGCTGCAGGCTCACCCTATGGACCCAACATTCCATCAGAGGCTGGTGTCAACCAGTTGCCCAGGCTCTCGTAGCACCTGCTTCCTTCTGTTTATAACATTAAGAACTTTCTTCCTGGGACCAAGATGCATGTGTATACTCTGAAGGTCCTCATCAGAACAAAGCAGCAAAGCTTCTAGATCAATCTGCTCTCTCATGAAAATGGGAAGGAATTCTTCCAGATGATGAGACTGCAGAAATACTTCCAGAGGAGTAGCATCAACCACATCTTCCTCCCACCCCACTTCATCGTCATCCCAAGGCAGATCATCTTCATGACTGTTTTCCTCTCCCTCTTTATCTGCCTCGGCTTCATCAACCTCAGCTGCTCCTTGTCTCTGAAGCAATTCACTGCACATTTTAAACTCCAACCCCCTTTTGATGTCTGACATGTCTTCAGGACTTGATATTTTGTTCTTTCTAAAAACAATATTTCCTAGACCTGGACGGTTGAGAATGGATTCATGTTGCACACATCCATCATCCTCTGCTGAGAACTGGGGCTTCTCTTGGAAGTCCCCTGAGAATGCATCTTCTTCCTCTTCTCTGAACACTTCCATCACATTCCTCTGCCCACTTCTGCTCTCTTTCCCTACCTGCTCTGCTGTATCTTTGTTTTTCTTGAGCTTTAACTTGAAGGTATCTTTAATGCCCTTAGACAGTGACCCAAATGTACCAGAAGCAGAAGCATTTGCAAGGGATGACCTGGAGAATGTGCCATTGGAAGAAGAAAGAGTCCCAGATTCTTCCTTGCTATAGTTGCGAGCCATTTTATTTTGGTGCTTCTCCTGGAGCCTCTCACATTCTTTGATCTGCCTCTTAGCATTTTTCTGAGCCTGCTCCTTCAGCCTGGTAACTTTCTTGGGGTTCATGATATTCTGGGTAGTGGCAGCCTTATCCAGGAGAGCAACACATTCATTTTGTTCTCTGCTGGCAGCAGCATCCAGCGGAGACTGTAAGCTGTTGTCCAGGGCAAAAATGTTGGCACCAAAGTTAACCAGGAATGAAACACAGTGGGTATGACCATTGGAAGCTGCATAATGTAGAGGAGTATTTCCCCAGATGTCACATCTATTGGGATCCCCTCTAGAAAAGAAAATACCAAATATATATATATAAACATTTTTTTCTTAGAACATGGGGTCCAAAACAAAACAAAAATGAACAAAATACATTTTAATTAATCCTGCCTGAGCATTCTAAAACTTCTGAAAGTCCAGATATGTCACACCTATCTAGACATCACATGATCAGAAACAAAAGCTCATCCCCTTTTGTCTCCTTTTTAGAAGAAAAGCTTTCCAAGAACACCCTCAAAAAGCAACTTTCATGTCTCATTGTCCGCAATCGATTGTGCCTATAAGAAGAGAAATAGAGCTATCATTTTAAATTTAAGTTGATTACCCTGCAGCTAGGAATAAGATTACCTAGTGGTGTGCTGGTAAATGCTTAACAACTGGTGAAAAGATCGAAGTTCTGATTTATAGCATGTGCCAATATTTGTGTTGTAAATACACCCACCATGACAAAATTCAAGCTACTAATGTGATAAGACAGGACATGGAATTTGGAAGAGATGTCCAAAAGCATACCTTTATAAATTATTTCCACCATATATGTAGATATAATAGATATGCAAAACTTTAAGAGTATAGATAACAGTAAAATGTACTCAAATAATTAGGAAGTGATAATTTTTGAGTATTTAAAAATATAATTTGTTAAGTCATAAGTTTAAATACCTTTATTTTTAATAATGACTGTTTAATGGACTCTCAGACTTCCTGAAAATTTAGCAATCACATCTCATAAACTGGTAAGAGCTATTTCCTACTCTAACACTGGAGTCACATGTAGGAAAATAAATAATAATAAACAAAACTAGGTTCCCACCAGCAAAAAAAAAAAAAAAAAAAGAGGGGAATGGATGTTAGGTAGGTAGCAAACTGTGTCTGATATAACCATTATTCATATAAAGCGTAGAACATCTCCATTGGTTCTCCAACTCACTTCCATGCAATTACAATGTCATATATGTGAATAGTTCTGCAATAGTTTATGGTGGAATTGAGGGCACTGTTAGATGGTTTTAAGGCTGGAGACCCCATGGCAGCATAGAAACTGGCTCATGGTTGATGCTTAGTAAGCATTCCTGAGATGAATGAATGCCTAATGGAGTCTTGCCCCAGACTACAACCCCAGCCCTCCTGTAAGATGTTGAGTTACAAATAGGCACAAACAGAAAGTAAAGAAGTAACTTACTGTTAATATGACTCTGGCCCCAAGCCCAAACCACTGCTGAGAACTCTGCTAATACAGGTGCTAAAGGGCATCTTCCCTCACCCTAGACTAGACTCCCAAATCAGGATCTCACTAAACTTCCCCCAGGCTGGCCCCATGGAAGGACAGGAGAGAGGGTCTGAGAAAGCCTCTTGACATTCTTGGGGAGTAGAATGTAGAAACAGACAAGATGATCCGTGCCCTTGCAACTACTACATCAAGGCTCTGTGACCCTTCCACTATTCTGTGCTACTCAAAGTTTGGTCTCTGGATTAGTAGTAGCAGTGGCAGCTGCTAGTTTGCTAGAAATGTGAAGTCCTGGACTCCAGCCCAGATGTCCTGAATCAGAATCTGAAGTTTAACAAGATCCCAAGGTGGTATATAGGCTCATTGCAGATTGAGAAGAGCTGCACTGGTTAATGTGGCCCAACCAGTGTCCAATAATTTGATGAGTCAGATTTGTAATTCCTCTGTAGGAACCCCTAATCTCCTCCCATTTTTTCAATTGTGAAGTATCTGTACATTCAGTACCATCACCACCAACAACCATCATCATCTCTCCCTCTTAGAGAAAGACCAGGATAATTATCAGAGGGGTAAAATACGGCTCCAAGTACTTAACTGATTTGTCCACTGTTGCACAGGGAGCACACTTTGGATCAGGCCTGCCTCCAAGTCTAATAGTCTCCAATACAATACAGCCTTACCTTAACACACCTCAGTTTTTCTACTTCACCAGCTATGAGGCCTCAAGTTTAACTTTCATAGGACTCTGTGTCCTCATCTGTATGAGTATGAGAATAGTTTTTATGGAATTGTTATGTGAATAAGTTGACATAAAGCACTAGAAAAGTGCTTGATACATAGTAAATCTTCAATAAACATTGTTATCATTTCCCTTGTCTCTAAACTCATAGTCCCTAATTTCATATCTTTTTTTCTCACACCCATCTAATAAATTCCCATAGTGCTATAATAGCTCCTGCAACTTTTTAACACTTAAAATCTTACTTAATCTGTTCAACCTTTATGCACCAACCTCCCTGATTAGATAACATGACTCAAAGGGCCAAGCCTATGTCTTTTTGTCCTTTGTATCATATCTCTTAGCAGAAGTCTCAGTCTTAACCTAAAGAAACCAAGCAGGTAAGTAAGCAATTAAATGGAGCCAAAGTCATAGTTGAGTGCAAGTTCCAACAGGAAAGAAGAGCTGTCACTCTGTAGCAACTGACTGCCACCTCAAATAAAAGCAGACACAATATAGTGAGAGCTTCCATTTTCCAAACAGAGCCAGAAATCCACAGTCTCATGTGGGATTTTTTGATTTTTAGATGTTGGCTTGAATTTAAAAGAAAAATACAGTGAAGTCCAAATAAAACATATTTGTGGACTAGATCCAGCCCATAAGCTGGTAGTTGGCAACTTCATTCTGAGCAGAGAACAGCATGAACAGATGCACATATGGGTGATGTTAAACATGGCATATCTGGGGAATCAGGGGTACATTTCAGTGTGACAGGAGTGCATGGAGATGGGGCAAGAGAAATCAGTGCAAAGAGGAAGGTAAGAAAATGAAATTCAATCTAAAGCAAATATTAAATAAGACAGTTCTGTTGGGCAGCCAGTTCCAAGAGGTCTGGTCAGTACTCCTGATTTAATTGTTTTAGATCAAAGGAAACCTTTTTCAGCCTTAGCACAGTTGTATATCTTAGGAAGGCATAGTGTCTCACCCCCCAAAGATGTAGTTTTGCTTTTTATTTATTTTACCCAAGCACCATATTCAAAAGACTCCTTAAGTACTCTAAACATCAAAGAGGGATTGTAAAAACATCCAAGATGGTACTATAAAGCTAAACAAAAACATACTGTTTAAATTTTCCTGAAATTATTGTTGGATTGCATAACTTAAAAAAGAAATTATTGAGAGAAGTGAGTTATGGTGGGGATATTAAGGGTATTAAAAAGTTTAGGTTAAATTTACATGCTTTGGGACATATGAAGTAGAATTTTCCTGTCTCAAGGGAACTTAAATGATCCCTCCAAAATGGGAGGAAGAACATGAAGAAAACCTTGAGATGACCCCAAAGATGGGTCTCATTTTAAGAACACTTCAAATGCAAAATTCCAAAATTTATAAATGAAACTGTTAGTAAGATGATTTAAGTGTTTCTCTCATGCTTTTAAGCTATTTTTCACTTGCAAAAATTCTATTTAAAGGCAACTTTCCAAGCTTGTGTATAACTTAAGTCAAAATATTTTCTAATGACAAATTTCATGAGGTCCTTCTGAATTCAATCTTTGTCTTTAAATCCTTGGTGTCTTTTGTACTTCTTTTTTTTTATATAAATTAATTTTTATTGGTGTTCAATTTACCAACATACAGAATAACACCCAGTGCTCATCCCGTCAAGTGTCCCCCTCCGTGCCCGTCACCCATTCACCCCCACCCCCCGCCCTCCTCCCCTTCTTGATAGAACCATTACACACACCTGCCAGATATTCATTAACTAATCCCCCTCATTCAATGATCTGCATCCTATATTGATGCTATATGGCTTGCCTGGGCTAAATTCAGTCTAGCATGGATTTCTTTTCCAATTTTTTTCCAAAGGAGAAACTCACTGAAGAGATTTTAAAATAATCCATATTTTGCCCTTGCTTTTTGGTAGGTCAGCACATTTGGGCAATAATTTTTAAAGCTGGATTGGTATTGTCACTAAATAGGCAAATTGCTTAACTTACTCTGAGCATCTGGTCCATTTCAGTTTTTTCTTTTGGAGTTAATTTGATGTTTTGTGTGTGAAGCTATTCTCAGGAAAAAAAAATAGCCTTTCAAAAATGTTTTTCTACATAAGGAATATTTGGATTTACTAATAATCAAAGAAATGTAAATGAAAACAATGTACCACCATTTTCTTGCCCATCAGATAGACAAGGATTAAAAAGAATAGTAATATTCAGTTTTGGCAAGAGTATGGGAAAATGAACAATGTTGAGGGATCATAAAGTGGCTCAAATTTCCTGGCATGATATGTGCCAAAACCTTTTAAAACATAGCAATCTCTTGAACCAAGAGGTCTGCCTATCCTAAGAATATATCCTAAGGAAATATTAAGCCCTTGTACGAAGATGAATAAGCAAGGATGTTCATCTCTACTTATTTATGAGTTAAAAGACTGGATTCAAATTTAAGTGTCATGAACAAGCAACTGATTAAATAAATTATGATAAGACCATAAAACAGAATAGCATGTAGTCATTAAAAAACAGTGGCATAGATTTCTACTTTTAAAGTTGCAAATGAAAAAAAAGTACAGTCTATAATCTATTGTTAAATAATTAGAAGCAGATTTCAGAATAGTTTGTAGAATATGATTGTCTTTTGTAAGGGGGAAAAATATACATGTATGCACATGTTCTTAAAGAAAAAAGCCTGGAAGGATATATGCCCAAATGTTAATGACTGTGAAAACTGGTTTGATTTTTACTTTATTAACTATATCTTTCTAATACAATGTAAAATTTTGCAATAAGTGTGTGTCCCTTTAAGAATCAGGGAGGAAGGGATCCCTGGGTGGCGCAGTGGTTTGGCGCCTGCCTTTGGCCCAGGGCGCGATCCTGGAGACCCGGGATCGAATCCCATGTCGGGCTCCCGGTGCATGGAGCCTTCTTCTCCCTCTGCCTGTGTCTCTGCCTCTCTCTCTCTCTCTGTGACTATCATAAAATAAATAAAAATTAAAAAAAAATTTAAAAGAATCAGGGAGGAAGATAACTTGCTTCCATTAGAAAATGGAACAAAACTGAAAAAAATCCATGTACACTTAATAGGCAAAATGAAATTTTGTTAATTGGGGCCATTTTCCAAATGTAAGATAACATATGTAATTATTGCTTTTCATCTTTAAATCTTGAAAAGAAAGAATACACAATTTTTAACAAAGCCAGATATTGGACATTAATGATTACCATGTGATCCACTGTCAATGATCAATGATGGATTAATTTCTAAATTCAAATTTTAAAGTTTCCCTTTTAACTCCCTTAAATTTAATTGGCAAATTGATCTCACACAATTCCTAAGCTATGGTCAATATGGGAACCTAAAAAAGCTTGTACAAGATTTTTTTTTTCAGCTTGGGTACTCCAGGACAACTTAACAGAATGTGGGGCCTTACCTTCCTCTTCCTCCACCCACCACAATGTCCAGTCAACTATAATTGATTCTGCATCCGAACTACCAATTAAATCCATCCCTGTCTTCCCATTCCCACTGCCACTGCCATAGTCCAATTTGTCTTTCATCTCAACCATTAAAACAGCCCCTAAACATTTTCTGTGACTGCTATACAGCTACCTGAGCAAGTTTTGTAAACACAAATCTACCAGGTGGCTATCCTATATAAACCTGATAAACCTGACAATAGCTCCTATGCCTTTAGAACAAAGTTCAACTCTCCAACAGAGTTTACAAAGCTCTTGTGATCCGGCCTTGTCTCTTATAACTTAGCCTCTCCCCTTACAGCCACATCCAGCTATGCTCAACTTCAATGCCTAGACTGCACAGTGCTCTCACTTGGGGGAAATATTCTGTCTTCCATCTTCTGGCCAGCTGCTTCTCACCTTTCAGGTCCCAACTTCAAAGTTCTAAAAAGCCTATTATCAGTCTCTGGATTGGGATAGATTCCTGTTATTTATTTAGTGCTCTCTCTTTCCCCCTTTGTAACATATATTATACCTGACTTACTTAATTTCTGCCTTCATCTCTTAAATCTGATCGCTATGAGGAGAGGAATGGTGTCTCTCTTGTTGATCACAGCATCCCCAGTGGCCAGTAAAATGGCTGGCACACTACAGATATATATAAATAAATATGTGTTAAATGGAAATTAATTCACTTAGTTCTTTTATTAGCATTTTCTTTTTTTCCATTCTTTACTCCTGTTGGATTTTGGTTGCCAACACTGCCTAGCCACTCTGGTAACAAGCAAAAGAAAAGAGCTAGCTAATTCCTGCATTAGAATTTGGGGGGAGTACAGGGCATTTGTATGTAACTAATAGCTAAAGAGATAATAAAGTTCAGACAGGCCAAGATTCCCTTTTATAGCTTGAAGCCAACTACTTCATCTAAGAATCATAGGCTTGCATTAGGACTGAATATTAATAAAAGGCTGTGGGATTATAATGGCATAGATTTAAAAAAATAAAATAAAAACGCATCATTTGTTCCAATCAAGGTTGACATCTTAAAGTCAAGTAGAACAGTGATTCCTTTTTAAACAGCCAACCATTTACATTTCATGGAAAAGATTTTTTAAAAGTGCAGAATTAAAATAGTCCCCCCACCCACCCAAAGCAGATAACAAAGACTTAGAGTTCAGGATCTTTCTATGTGTGGTTCATAAGGGATGAGCCATCCTCAGGTTGGCAGTTTAGTGTGAAAAGAAAATCTCTAGGTAGTTTTCTCCCTTTCTCTAAAAAGACAATTATTTAGACAGTCTATAAAGAACCAAATATTTTCACTGGCTTTCCTCTCTCTGTTGTCTGAAAAAGCCTACCGGAAACACGGTCTCCAATCAAAAGTATCAGATTGAACTTACCCTCGGCTGCAGATTATTTCTAGGGCTTCCAGATTCCCATGGTAGGCTGCCAGGAGTGTGGGAGTCATACCATCCTCATCAGAAAGATTCAGATCTCTCTTGGTAGCTTCTTTCAAGAGTTCCAGGTAGCTATCACTAGCAGCTTGGTGGTAGCGAGTGGACATTTTTTCTGCTCACCAGAGCCTGGCCAGATATTACTCTCCAGGCAAAGCAGGTTGTCAGTGGAGCAGCCTTCCTATAAAGCTGGTTAATCAGTGACAAGGAAGAGTGTCACCCCAGGACAAAGCTCATTCTAACCTCCTCTATGGAAGGCAGCCAGAAAGGTTCACAGCACTGAACTTGGACCTTTCCTTCCTGGCATGGCCATGACATCGAATATTAAGGACCTCTGTGTTCATCTTGAATGTTGTGAGGCACATTTAATCTTTTTATGTCCATTAGAAGTCTTGAATGCAATATTGGTCATCTAGGTACAGAGTGTACAAAATAATTTCCAAACAATTCAGAACTAGTCTAGTTCACTGAGGTCTATTTTCAAAAAATATTTTATTGAAGTATAATTTATATACTATGAAATTCATCCATTTTAAGTGTATAATTTGATGATTGTTGGTAAATTTACAGAGTGGTGCAAGTATCACCATAATCCAATTTTAGAACATATCTACCACTCTCAAAATATCCCTCATGCTCATATGTAGTCAATCCTTATTCCCATTCCCATTCCCAACCCTAGGAAACTACTAATCTGGTTTCTGTCTCTATAGATTTGCCTTATATGGGCATTTCATATAAATGGAATCACAAAATATTTATTCTTTGTGTCTAGGGTTTTTTTTTTAGCTTCACATAAGTTTTGAAGTTCAATTCCTTTTTTAGTAACAGTACTTCCTTTTTATTGCTGAATAATATTTATTATACCAATACATCAAATTTTCATTATTCATCCAGTAGCTGATGGACTTTTAGATTGTTTCTCCATTTAGATGGTTTTATGAATAATGCTGCTATGAACATTTACACACAAGTCTATAGATATATATTTTTATGTCTCATGGGTTTATATCACAGAGTGAAATGGCTGGGTTATATGGCAATTTATATTTAACTTTTTCAGAAATTGCTAAACTGTTTTCCAAAGTGACCATACTCTTTTACATTCCCACAGCAGTGGATGGTGAGAATTTCTCCATATCCTTGCAGCCTCTGTTGTCTTTTTGTTCATTGCTATCCTTAGTGGATGTGAAGTGGTATCATTATGTTTTTTTTAATTTTTTTTATTTTATTTATGATAGGCACACAGTGAGAGAGAGAGAGGCAGAGACACAGGCAGAGGGAGAAGCAGGCTCCATGCACCGGGAGCCCGACGTGGGATTCGATCCCGGGTCTCCAGGATCGTGCCCTGGGCCAAAGACAGGCGCCAAACCGCTGCACCACCCAGGGATCCCCGGTATCATTATGGTTTTAATTTGCATTTACTAATGATTAATGATGTTGAACACATTTTCATATGCTTATTAGCCATTCTTACATTTATATGTAAATTCTCTGCCCATTTTTCTCATTGGGTCTTATTGAGTTATGAGGGTTCTTTATATATTTTGAACAAAAATAATTTATCTGATATATTTTGAACTGAATGAAAATGAAAATGCAACATCTCAAAATTTGTAGGATGCAATTAAAATATAGCTTGGGGAAGAAATTTGCAGTTTTTATGCCTGTATTAGAGAAGGAGAAATTTCGCAAATCAATAACTGCAAGTTCCACCTTAAAGAAAGAAGGAAACAATGGAAAAATTAGTGTAAATAAAGAGCACAATATAAGACCAAAAACATGGTCCAAATCTATCTATAATAAAAATTAATGTAAATGGACCAAATTCATCACTTAGAAGACTCAGCCATATCTTATTTACCATAGTCACAGCTAAAATATAAATTTACAGAATGATTGAAAGCAAAAAATGGAAGTTTTATCAAGAAAATACTGAGACTGGATGGCTCAGTCAGTTAAGTATCCAACTCTTGATTTCCGCCAGGGTCATATTTCAGGATGGTGAGATTGAGCCCCACATAGGGCTCTGCCCCTGATGTTGAGTCTGCTTGAAATTCTCTCTCTCCTTCTTCCTCTTCTGTCTCCCCACATGCACATGCATGTGTTTACTCTCTCTCTCTGTTCCTTTTTAAAATATTTTATTTAAATTCAATTTGCCATCATATAGTATAACACCCAGTGCTCATCCCATCAAGTGCCTTCCTTAGTGCCCATCACCTAGTTACTCCATCCCCAAAATCTTTTTTTTTTTAAGAAAATACCGACAGAAATAGTATAGCTATATTTACATCAGACAAAATACAGTTTAAGACAAAAATTGCTAGGGATAAAGACAGATAATACATAATGAGGAAAGGAACAAGTCATCAATAAAATATGATATTCCTAAACTTGTGTGTATGTAATAACATAGCCCCCAAATAGAAAAAAACAAAAATTCATAGAAATGTAAGAGAAAGAACAAACCCACAATCATAGATTTTAATACACTTTCTTAATATTACATATCAATTAAACTAAAGATTAGAAAAAAATATAAAAGATAAAAGATCTGAACACAATTAAAAAGCTTGATTTAAGAATCCTATGTAGAACTCTTACTGGATAGAAAATACATGTTCTTTTCAAGCACACAGAAAATATTTATAAAAATTTCCCATCTAATAGAACCAGTGCAGGCCTCAGTAAATATAAGATGACAGGTTTCATGGAGACCATGTCCTCTGAAGATACAACAGTAAAATTAGAATCTATCACCCTATATAACTGATGAACTATTTATATATTCTCCTGTGGTATTTTTTACATAGTTTTTACCATCAAATACATACCATTTTGCATTGTCTTTTCTTCTCCTTAAACCACCATAAATATTTCCCATATTGTTACAAAATGTTTAATATGTTTGGACAATAGTCCATGGAACTGGGATGCCTGGGGAAGCTCTGCAGTTGAGTGTCTGCCTTTGGCTCGGGTGTGATCTGGATCCAGAAATCAAGTCCCACATCAGGCTCAGTCCAGGGAACCTGCTTCTCCTTCTGCCTACGTCTCTGCCTCTCTCTCTGTGTCTCTCATGAATAAATAAATAATTAAAAAAAAACAGTCCATGTAACTGAAGTGAGGAAGACCTACTTTCAAAGTCTGTATCTATTTATTCTTCTTATCTCTTTTTGTCCAAACCTTTATTCCAAGATAAATTATCTGTCCACTCTGAGAAAATACAAGGCTTTCATCTGCAAGTTTTTCACAATAATTAGCTCCAGGGTCAATGTTTGTTCCTTTTTATGGTTTCTATGAGAACATCAGTAGACACTGTAGAAGCAACCTGGAGGGCAACATTTTTTATTTGTAAAGGGGGAAAAATAATTTTTTTAGCCCAGCGTGTGAAATATTCAAACATGATTATGGATACTTTGAGAACAAGGTTATGTTCCTTAGCTATTTTTTGCATGAGCCACTTAAATTTAAACATAATTGAATTCATTAATGGAATCTAAAGTAGAAAATTATATATAACTTGAGAGAGGGCTTCTCAAAGATGAATTATTTGAAGTAGAATGCTAAGTGCCAATCAGACAAGGAGTCTGTTATGAGATGAAGATGAGGATAATGATATTGTGATAATGATGGGGAGAAGGAGAATGATAAAGGGAAGATGGAGGCAAAGAATAAGGAGAACAGAGCAACCATGGATGAGAAGAAGGGTTGAAAATGGAGATCTCAACTCCAGGAGTACTTATGACTTGGACTTAAACTCTCCTGTGAAATGGAGTTTTTATTTTTTTATTATTTTTTAATGGTAAAAATCCTGGCACTCTTTGGCATTTCCTTGGGAAAACTTTGAAAGAATGGATTATGAAGGGGAAGTAAAACAGAAACAAATGCCAAACTTGAAGATCCTCCTTAACCCATTCCCTCAAAATGAGGTTGACAAAGAGGATTGAACTTGGACCTAGAAGACCTGAAGTCCATATGACCTACAACTTACTGCATCTGTTTGAGTCTCCATTTCTTTGTGGATAAAATTGGAGGATATTGCTCATGATCATATCATCCTCTAAGCCTATAGTAGTAAAGGTAAAATGAGATAAAATTATGAAGTGTAAAATATGGTTTTAAAAATGGGAAGAAGCCATGTTATTGTGGCTTCCCATGTGAAGGGAGCAGAGAGAGAGAGAACTAAAACTTAGTAATTGGTCTTTTTTATTTGCTACTGTACTTATCAGAGTAAAAAGGAAACAAAATTGGTAGGAGATGGTGAAGGCAGAGATTAATGAAAATAAGACAGATTTGCATATAATTTAGACAATAACTGCTCATGAGAGATCTGGATAATTGTGGGGCAATTGTGGCTTGTGACTTCATATTTTGACAGTAACTGGCCTTGTGTTTCCACACAATACTTATTTCTAGTATTTGAGAAATACTACTTTCTCATAAGAAATAAGAAATACTTATTTCTAAGTATTTGAGTCTGTTGCTACAGTATGTTGCTGGATTCTCTGAAGGTCAAAGAAGAATATCTGCCTTACACACTGGTAGAGAGACTTTAAGGATCAGACTTAAATGTCCATGACCCACTCCTGAATATTTCTGAGCAAATCAAAGCCTTATCAACTTCCTGTTGTAACCAAACCTGCCCTGCCCTGCCTCCTTATATTCCTGCTTTATTAGTATGACTTTAAAGAGAAATATCCAACTAGTGACATATGTCCCTCTGGCTGCCACTTAGTTTCAAAGGGAGTAGGCTTTCTTTCCTCTTTTTTTTTTTTTTTGTTAAACTCACTTATTACCTGACACTTCAAGCATTTAACTATTTCAATTTTAAGATGCCCTGTAGACTCATAAACAGTTCTTTTTGCCGATGACCCAGAGAACACAGGGTTAATTGGCTCCCCAGGGACAGCACTTGGAGAGTGTCTTACTAATGGGTCTGCTCCTCCCCACAAAGCAAAGGCATTGTCCACTCTTCATTACTGTGTTATAATTTTGCAGTCTCTCCAGCCACAGTACAGCTACCTGACAGCTGAGTGTTGTAAACAGTTTTCCCACATGCCCTGGAGTCCAATCCTGGCTAAGAGGAAGTAGCCCTTGGATGGAGAATTTACCTAGGATTCTGACTTAT